GGATTCATGTTTGAGGGATTTGGTAAATTTTTATTTCAAATTGGATATTTTAGACATTTCAATTGAAGGGTATTTAAGACTTTTAATGTATGATTTTATAGACCAAAGGCTATTGGAACAAAAACTATTGAGATGGACTATTTTACCAATAAGTATTGTTGACTAGGCTTTTTAAGCAAAAACCCCTTAAAAAATATCGTTTTTTCTCAAGAAAACGGTAAAAATTCACCTTTCATTCTTTGAATTCGCTTTCTGATTTCTTGAGCACGAGCCTCGAAATTCACCCTTCTCTTCAGTTTTGACCTCCTCCTTTTCTCCAAGTTTCTTTGGGAGTTTTATAATTTTGTTTTGTTCTGGGACAATTGAGCAGAGAGAAGCCGGTGGGCCTCTTCTACCTCGCCTTAGGTCCGGCCCTATCGTCGACGTTGAGAAGAGACAAGAGAGAAGTCGGCGGGGATGGAGAGAAGAAGAGATGGACTTTAAGTTGAGAAGAGAGAAGCCAAGGACAAAAGCTCAAAATGGTGTTTCTCGTCTTTTGCAATTTTTACCGTAAAAAACACTGAAAACGCCCAAAATGAGATTTTTCTCGTTTTGGTTTTTAGTATAATTTTTTTTCAAGAACGCATTTTCGAAAATAGGAAAGAGAACGCGTTTTCACTATTTTAAAAAATTGAAAACAGAAAACGACCCGAAAACGGCAAAGAGAACAGGGTTTGAGCTTCCTGATCAAGTTGTCTACAACAAGCCCAATTAATTGGACCGAACCCAACCGAAATAAGGAAATTATTTAGGCCCTGTTTGGTATACATTATATTTTTTNCAAATCACTTTTCACGTTTCAATATAAGGCTCTGTTTGGTACACATTATTTTTTTCATTCTCATTCTTCTACTCATTTTCAACCACACATTTTTCAATAAAATAATATTTTCCATCACATCAATAACCTTTCCTTCATTTTTAACCACACATTCTCCATCAATTTACTATTCAATAATATATTCTTTCAGAGGAATGTGCTCCAAACACACTCTTAAGTAGAAATTACACAATACCAGAATTTTCCACTTCCAATTTCAAAATTCAGATTTCCAAGTTTTTATTTCAAAATAAGATGATAATTAAAATTATTATTATTATTATTATTATTATTATTATTATTATTATTATTATTATTATTATTATTTAAAATTTAAACTAATCCACCCAAACCCTAAAATCAATTTCAACTCTCTTCTCCCTGTTCTCTCTTCTCACTCTTTCCCTATGTTCGACGTTATGCATAAAGAAGCCACCGTCGATTTCCCCCCCTCTCTCTCTTCGTTGCCATTATTGTGTGTAGTAGCGAGGTGCTCACTACTGCAGATTATGGAGGCGCCGCAGATCGGAGACCTTTCCTCCATTTTTCTCTAGTCATAGGTGGTTGGGGTTGCAGATAGTGCGGATCGGGATAGAAGACCTTCTCGATGGGGGATCTGTAGATCAAAGCCAGAGTACAGAAGTGATGGTAGTGGTTGCTACAAATCGGAGCCGAAGAAGAGAAGGAGTGGTTGTAGTTTAACATCGTTGTGGCGATCTGTCAGAGAAAAGAAAGGGTGGTTGTGGTTTGAGATGGTTGTTGGTTGGGTGGCGGCAGTGATGGTGACGAAGTGGGACAAACGGTGTTTGTGATTAATTATTTGGATTTGTGATGTGGTGGTAGAATGGCCCGCTGTAGATCGGAGCCGAAGAAGAGAAAGAGTGGTTGTGGTTTAACATTGTTGTGGCGATCTGTCAGAGAAAAGAAATGGTGGTTGTGGTAAGGTTGTTGGTTGGGTGGCTGCAGTGACGGTGATGGCGACGGTGACGGAGTAGGGAAAACGATGATTAATTATTTGGATTTGAGATGTGGTGGTGGAATGACATGACGATGTGGTTGTGTTTTCTATGATATGTTGATTTTTTTGTAGTGGTGGTGTTGTTGTCGGGAAGTGGTGACGGTCGTTCTGGTGGCGTTGGCTATGGTGCTGTTGGAGGGAGTGGTGCAGTGGTGGTCATTTGTCACAAATTATTTGGTTATTGTGACCATTAAATTGATTGACCCGTGATCAATAAACAATAAGTGAGTAATAAAAAAAATAAATTGTGACCAATAAATAATGTGTAACCTAAAACAATTTTAATTTGTGATCGATAATTTGACAATTTGTGACTGTCTATCAAGTCTTGACTTATAATATTTGTGATTTGTGACCGATAAATAAATTGTGACGTATAAATTTTTGATTTGTGATCGATGAACAAATTGTGACCTATAAAATTTCAGAACTGTGACCATAAAATAATTTGACATATAAAATTTGTAATTTGTAACCAATAAATAATATTTAACTTATTAATTTTATAGATTTGTGACCGATGAATAAATTGTGACCTATAAAATTTTTGAATCGTGATTGTAAAATAATTTGTGACATAAATTTTGTGATTTGCGAGCAATGAATAATATGTAACCAATTATATGAATTTTGTGACCAACTTATATGAAATTGTGATATTAATTTATTTAATTAATTATCTTTATTCAATAAAATCCGTTAGGATTCTTTAAACAAAAACCCAAGGATTTGAGTTTTTGGGAGAAACTCGTTAATGCTATTTATAGTCTACAATTGCATTGGTCATCTTATGTGACAACTTGTTATTTGAGGCATTAGTTTTCTGTAATTCAATTGTCTCAAATAACAAGTTGGAGCATAAGATGACTATTGTAAATGATGATTATTTTAATATGAAATTTGAATCTATCCAAAAATTAGAGACGTCATTATTGCCAAGCAGTGAAGAAGGAACCAGATTTTTCAAATGAGCCCTTATTTGACATATATTCTTTCAAAACTCATTTTCAACCATACATTTTTCATCACATCAATAACTTTTTCTTTCTTTTTAACCATATATTTCTTATCATATCACTATTTAAAATACATTATTTCCTCAATAGTATCCACCAGACACCCCATGAGTATCAATTTTACGTATTTTTCTATTTTGTGATGGGACGACAATTGTGGGCCTAATTATTCCCAATTTTTATTTACATAAAAGCAACTTCTCAATCAAAATATAAATTTACTTATTTGCTTTAGTTAAAAGCAGTTATGGTAAGTGCAGTCTGTTTCACTTTTATGCACTTTCATAAACCCCCGGGTTTTGTTGGGGTGAGGAGAAGGGGGATTTAAGAGACTTAGCAATGAACATGATTTTTAGGACTTTATAATCCACTTTGAGTACCTGTAATTATTCTCGCCGT